TGAAAGCGATTAGGGAAATTAATTAAAAATACGTTAAAAATTTGTTTCCTTAAGCGATTTTCCTCTTGTTTCATTTGGCTTTACTTCTGGGTAGGTAGCATTTGACTAGGGACAATAGTCCCGAACCCCATCCCAACGGGGGGAGGCGAAACGCTGCCGAAATTTTAGTAAAATCCCCAAAATTTTATTTCTACCCCTAAAAAAGCGTCAAACTCGGCGGGCTTATATAAGTATTAATCCTTAATATATATAAACTAAGAAAGAAAATTTGTCTTAGGTAAATATATTTTTATAATTCATAATTAAAAAAAAATACAAAAGAATTCCCTAGAAGGTGAAGGGAAAGAGACGTTGCGGTAACCTGGTTTCAGGTGATCCTACTAGCTTGTTCTCAAAGGCGTGAAGCAAGCGACGCGAAATTTGAGTTATTAATCTACACCTTCCGCTTGCTGCGTTCTCTTTAGCCGCCAGTTGAATGTGGCCCCGGGTGCAAGTAGAGGTCTATGGGGCTACCATTGACTGGGACKTAGAGCCCCCTGAACTCATAGAGGGGGATCTRGTCGAGCTCACGATCCCCGGACGCAGCATTCGACACGCTGACGGCCAGTTTGCGTGGAGGTCCATAATCCTGTCCGAGGACGTGTGGCTTTGGACGTACAGAGAGCACCGGCCGGGGCAAGGAGTGAGTGTAGTGAGAGCCTACTTGTATTTGGGACCGGGTGCGATCAAGGAGGCCGTGGTGGGTCTCGCGACGACAGGGACTAGTGACGCAGTTAGCAGGGCGTTACGCTACCTAGGGAACGAGGTAGCTGCCTTCCGAGCAGAGGACTCGAGTGACCCGTTGACGCTATTTCACGGACGCCCTCCTCTTGATATCACGGGCGAGCTCGTAATAGCACGGGACGAGTTTTTTCCGTACAGCGTTAGGAGCGTGTGGGCGATAGTTCCGACGTTCGTAGTAGAGAGCGTCTTTGGAGGTACTGGTGGAGTGGTCGAGACATACCTGGCTTATCAGGATCTCAAGATCCTGGCGAGAAGACCTGCCGACCTGGACTATATCTATTATTCGCTCGCGACTGGTGGGCCTCGTTGGGGAGACGAGAGGGTTCAGCTTATAGAGCTGATCCGCTCGATAGATGACAAGTGGGCGCCCCTCCCCGGGTTTCCTCACACCGTATCTCCTTCACTTCCTCAGCCACGGCCTCATTCTTTTCCGACCAGGGATAGTCCTTGAAATCAGGACATCTATCCGTGGCATACTCCTTGTAGGGAGAGAAGTCACGTCTCCTCATCCCTCTCCACACCAAGTCCTTGTAATCGTCTGCCTCTGCCTTTATCGCGAGCTTTAGGACTTCTGGGAAATCAAGCCTGTCGCGCGGAAGATCTCTAAGTATACTATTTTGCCTACCTTTGGACAAGTGTCCGATGAAGATAGTACAACGCTCGACCTCTGAAATCTTCCCCTTCTTCATCAGCACGTCGGAGATCTTCTGGAAACGCATCCCAAATGCCCGTACGCTCTCATCTTCATCTTGGGTCATTGTTTCAAGGTCCTTGATGGAATACTTGTTATCCTCCAATTTGTAAAGCTCAACGAGGTTCTTCTTGTACGTAGTCTATTCTCCATCCTTCGGTCGAGCTTCCTTAACTTCCCTACCGAGACTTGGGTCCACCTTAAATAGGAAGTTCTCTATAATCTCTTCCTCCGACCACTGACTCCGGCTGGCGTGAAGCTCCCAGTTCTCCAGATATTCTGTGATACCTTAGCCCTTGAAGGTAGGAGGCTCTGAGGCCTTGTGCGTAATAATATAGCGATCCTTGCTCTCGTAAGGGACCGGATGTGACTCCCCTGTCTGGGGGTCGAAGACTCGCCTGGGCGGCGCCCTGTCTCTATCTCTGTCCCTCCAATAGGAATCCCTCGAACTCTCTCTCCAGTCGTCTCTGTGCCTGTCCGCTATGGTGTCCCTCCGCTCGTACTCGGGGGAGCGTCGCCTCGTCGCTTCTCGTCGTCCGCTCGAGGTACCCGTCTTTAGAGCCTCCTGCGGCCCTGTCGCAACTGGTTCGCCCCTTACGTCGGACCCTCCGTCATTGGTTTGGTCAGCCCATCTCAGCGGTGCTTCTCGCCTAATTCGTTCTTTCAGATCCCTCAGAGCTCGATCGGGCGATGTCCTGTGCTCCTCTCCCGCTTCGCCCGTGGTCGGTTTTGACCCCATCGTGTCGGGTTCCATTGGACCACCAGAAGATGTAGTTAGGTATTCTAGCCAACTGTTACAGCCCGACCCTATGACAGTCGCTGCAGCCCGGACCTGTGACAGTTGCGGCAGCCCGGACCTGTTTCCTTGTCACGGCTCGCGTCCGCCTCCAATCTTAGCTCTCGACTACCTTGATTACCACTTCCAGTATCCCGTACCGGTCGC